TCATTCTGCTATTTATTTAGGTATGTACATACATATGTACACTTGAGTGTCGGCAGACTTCACTCCTATCGGCTGGAGTGAAAGGAAATAGGTAAATAGAACAAAGGGGAAACAAATGTTTATTTTGTTGCGGCCAGTACGCGACAAGGCATTCGATGCTTCCTCCTCGTAAAATAAACATGCTCAGTAAAAAGTTAACAATTTAATTCGACGAATAGTTTTATATCAATTTGTGAACTTCTGTTTATTTGTTTTTTGTACAACATATTTACCTCTATTGGTTACAATAATTTTAAGCTATAATAAACATTTTTTTTAGTAAGTAAGTTATTGATTTTGATTCTTTTTTTGTAGGGGCGCCCCCCCTAAATTTCGTTCTGGCTACGCCCATGGTCACAATTAGCATAAGTCTCACAACCATACAGGAGCGTAGGTATTAAGTACGCTTTCGCCAAAAGTAGTCTAATGTTTAAAGGTGAGAAGTACTGTGTTAACCTGAGTGTACGGAGCATACCATACACTTTTCCTACTGCGCTAAAAATGTGGGTTTTCGATGTCAATGTTTTGTTAAATACTACGCCAAGATTCTTGGCCGTGTCGAGGTATTCAATTACTGAATTGTCCAAAGTGATCTTATCTAGACCATCAGAGGCAATGGATTTCCTATGGATGATGATACATTTCGATTTGATAGGGTTAAGACATAATCCATTCATAGAAACCCATTCCCCTATTTGGGTTAAGTCATGGTTCAAATCTTTGATACACATACTAATACGATCAGGAGGACAGCAAACATATAATTGGACGTCGTCAGCATATATGTGGACATTACAATATTTAAGGACGTTAGGCAAATCATTGACGTACAAAACAAATAACAAAGGACCCGGGTTTGAACCCTGGGATACAGATAGGAAATAAAAGAAAAGTTAAATAAGTTCATCAACTTTTGACATAATATCATGTGGTCCACTGTGTCAAAGGCTTTGGAATGATCTAAGAGGATTAGGAAAGCAATATTATTATCATCAAGGTGGACGAATATTTTCGATTACGTGTAATAGTGCTGTTGTACAGCTCCTTTTAGATCTAAAGCCCGATTGGTGGTCTGTTAAAAGTCTGTTGTATTGCACAGAAATAATTTGTTGATGTAAAAGACGCTCTACCACTTTTGATAGAAAGGGATGGATAGCTATTGGTCGATACTCGTTATTTTTCTTATGAACAGGGATTATCTTAGAAACTTTCCAACACTTAGGGAAGACACTGGTGGTCAAAATTGAGTTGATTAGGTAAGTCACGTGGGGTAGGATTTTAGGTAGTATTATTTTCAGAAAATTTGCATGAACTTCATCAAATCCCACGGCTTTAGATTTAATGGATAGTATGGCTTGCACGACATCACAGTCATCCACACAAACAAACTCAAATGGACTAATACTAACATTTACACGTGCACTGTAGTTGTCAAGACATGTATTAGCTAAAGAACTGGGTGGACTAACAAATTTTCTATTTAATTCGTCTAAATTTAGGTCGGAGTGAAGAGATAAACTTTCCTTTGATTTTCCCATCCCAATTTCTTTAATTGCATTCCACGTTTGATTAGAATTCATGGCTGAGCTGAACTTTTCCTTATAATACGTAGCTTTCGCAGACCTTATCGCTTTGTTGACAATGAGCCGAGCCGTTTTGAAGCGGCTTAAGGCTTCAGGGGTTCTGTACTGCTTCCACCTCACGTAGGTTTGATTACGAGTAGAAATAAGGTCTTTTGATTTAGGATTGAACCAAGGGCTGCTGTTGCACTTTGCTATTTTGCGTCTGAGTGGAACGAAGTCATCAAAGGGAATATTTTTGTGTTCTTGAAGGAACTTAGTTTGGTCGTCAGTATTTACCAGCGTTCGAATCAGATTCCATTCCACTGACGCCACCGCATCAGTGAGAGAGGTATAGTTGATGTTCTTGAAGTCTCGGTATGTGAAACATGTTGGTATTCTGAGTGTTTGAAAATCAAAAATCAAGAAAATCAAGTCGTGTTTTCGAAAAGTTAGGTGCAGACAGTTGGCTACAGTGGAGGGATTTACTAAGGTCATTCACAAAAAATATGTCAACCAAAGTGCTGTTGGTGTTAGTAAAATGTGTTGGTAAGTAGGTGTTAGTAGAAGAAAGACCTAGAGACTCCATGCTAAGTTTTAAACTGCAATTGACAATAAGGTTGCTGTTGAAATCACCCGCTACCACAGCGTTGTTGTAGTTGTCGAGTAACGGTTGAAGAAATTCGGTGAAATTGGAGAAGTTAATATGACGATTGGGTCTGTACACACAGCCGACCAGGAGCTTGTTTTCACCTGAAAAGATATCAATGAACACATATTCCACAGAGTCACCACAACCAGAAGCACAACATAATCTACAAGACAAACAATTTTTAACATATATTGCGACACCACCATGACCACTTCTATCAGCTCTGAACCGAATCCTTTCACTTTTATCAAATCATTACTGTGAAATGGTGTGAACCACGTTTCGGAGACACAAAGAATATCAATATCGGAATCCTCAAATATATATTTAAACTCATCAAGCTTTTTGTACAAGCATTGCGCATTGAGGTGAATTATCTTCAACCCAACCGCTTGTTTGCTTAAAATGCGCAACATGGTGTTGAGACAGCCTTTGGAACTCGCCTGCTTATAGTACAAAGTCAATATACAATATTTTAAATGCACTGCGGTTGGAATTTAAGAAAACTAGTAGTAAATTTAATCAGAAATATGTGGAAATAGAGTAAGTAACGCAGTAAAAGAAGAGATAAAAAGAATAATAATAGCAGTAGTAGTAATCATTCATCTTGTGGATCATCGCTGTTTTGGTGTATATTCCCGTCGCGAAAGGAGTGGATACCAGGTGGACTAGTGTGCTCCAGTTCATTGAGTATATCCAGGGTGTATATTGCGGGCGGACTGTTGTTTTTCTGTTGCCTAATGTGAACTAAGCCTCCTCTGGTGGACACAGATGCAACTTTTTCCAGTTTTTTGAGATTAAGGGCTGACTTGAAAATCTGGTAATTATGCTTTGTTAGCGACTCGTTAATGAAGACAGGGGCTTCGCTTTGTATGCCTGCATGAGTAAGCCGTAGTCCACTGTTGTTAGATCGTTTATAATTCGCCACAGTTTTTAGAAAATTGTTTCTATCCGCAGGTGCTTGAAACTTTACTATAATCGCAAGGTCAACCGGAGTATCCCGAAGTTTCCGTGCTCGGAAAATACCCTTAATGGAGGTGGTTGTAAATTCAGGGAAAAACATAGATGGTGAAATATACTCTGCAAGTTTTCACCTTCTTCGAGTGGGATCCCTAGCATCACAGGCAGCCATAAGGTTATCATGCTTGGAGAGATTTTGTTTTAAAGTTGCTACCTCTGCCTCAAGGATTCTAATTCGATCGCAGGTAGATTCCAAACGGGTAACTCTATCATTTAATTTGGTTAGCTCACGCGTAAAAGATTCTAGCTTTTCTTCAAACTTGCGACAGAAAACCTCCATAATTCTGTTTTCGGACTCAAGGATTTGCTTTGCAAGCAGTTCGTTGAACTTTTCAAAGCGTAGATCCATACTGCGTATAATATTTGGTGATGAGCCACTGATTAGCAGAGTTTTTCTAGGTTCTCCATCGTTGGAAGTAGTGTCACCACGTCGTTTTCCGGCACCTCCAGCCATTTTAGTGGGATTATAGAAAAGAATGAGGAGGCAGCACAGTTTACGACACGAAGTAGTGATTTGCACAAAGTTTACCACAGGTGTAGCTATTGATGACACAAACCAGACAACTCGGAGAAATCATTTAAATGATACGGTCAATGTTATTGTGGCTTGTTAACATTTTATTTTTAATATTTTTATTGAGCTTTGTACCACGATTGTTTATTAGGAAAAATTGAAAAAGCAACAAAGTCTAAGCGGTAGAAGTTATAGCACTATTTCGCAGATCACAACATCTCCTCATCAGACTTCTTTTTTCTAGACTTCAGCAGGCATCGAACCTGCGTATTCGATGTTCAAAGTCAGAAGCGTTAACCACTGAGCTATGTACATCCCGTAAACTCTTGTTGCTAATTCATT